ATCATGCATTTGGCAGGTCTTAGCTAAGGAACCTTGGTGGATTTTGTAGAATGGATAGTGCATTTTGTAGATGGTAAGCATTGCTATACTGAGTGTCAGTAGTGATGGTTACGGTTCTTTGTGACATGGTGCCAACCAAGCAGGCTGCTTTGTCCTGGATGGTGTCAAGCTTGTTCAGTATTGATGGAGCTGCACTTATCTAGACAAGTGGAGAAGCAGCATTCTCAACAGCAAAATGGTCACTGCACGAAATCCTGTGGATAGGGCCCACCCATAATACCCATATATTTTCCGAGTACTTTTTGAACTCTTTCACTTTCTTGAACGACTTAGAGAATAACAGGGATTGATTTCCAGATCACTATTCCAGTGAGGTGTAACAACAAGTACAGCAGAACACAGGACTAAAAATGTTTTGTTTATTAGAAGGAATGGAGTTCATGTGCAATGTAACATTTTCATTCCATACTCTTTTGTACTCTTACAATGTATGTCTTTTCCTGATAAAGTTGTCATGTTAGACTTCTGCTAATGGGAGTTTCCAGTAATGACATAAAAGTTAAGTGACATTATGCAATTTGTGATATTAATTTATGGCTGTGTTTATCAGGATTTTATTAGCTCAGTTTATAAAGATTTTATTGGACATTTATCCGAGAACTCTTGGGTTTTACTATTAATGGTACCAGCAGATTTAGTAATGCTGATACATCATATTTCATATATTTTCCCTTAGCAACAACACTAATAACAGACTTTCCAAAATTCTGCCTGTAGCATTTTGCCATTTGGTCACCACACTTGCTTACAAAGCAACAGTAACAGCACTTCAAAAGCAATTCATTGGCTGTGATTTACTTCTCAAAGGACATAAAATGCTTTGCAAATTTCTACTATTTTTCTCTTAAGCACATGAAAAGAAGTAAATTAATCCTAACATGAGCAATTCTTCCCAATTGGATTAACAAAGTTCTGCATCATCGTTCCCAGTTTTGCCTACCATCCAATCTCAATAAACTGGCCAAGCACAGCATCTTCCAAAAGACAAACACTGCCATCAAATTGTTCAACTATAAGTAAGATTTGAAAATATGGGCTGAGTTTTTGCCAGGGTCTTAAGTTACTTTGGAAGAAATCTGATTTTTCTTTGCATTTCCGACTGTGCAATTTTCCTCTGAGATTTTGCCAAATGTGCATAATAAACACTCACCCTACAACAGTTGGTTTCCCAGTTTTGACATCAGACACATCAGTAAGGGAATCAAGGTTTATGGGGAATAGGTAGAAAGTGCAGTTGAGGATTAATAGATCAGCTGTGATCTCATTGAATCGTGGGGCAGACTCTATGGACTGAAGGCCTACTTCTGCCCCTACATCTTATACTTTTATGGAATTATAATATCAATGAACAGACACTGAAGCTCAGTGAGATGTCAAGAAATTTACAATTCTTGGTTAACTCACACTTATGTGATAACTTCACGGATCAGAGATGAAACATTACCTGCATTGTGTTCAGTTTGAAAAAGACAATGGAACTAGACTTGGAATGCACAAATGACCCATGTATCAGCAGCTTGCTTGAACAACAATGGAGATTGCAACATAGACTGATAACAGCAGGATACTTAAAACTCTTCTTTCTGTCTATCTGGCTGTTTCTCTATCAATCTCAGAAACCAATATTACTGAAGAAGGAATGCTGACAAACTACTTTTTGCTGAAAAATCAACGTCATTTGCAAGTTTTACCACCCCTGAGGAAACAGAACCATTGGGACTTGAGATTCACTCGCATGCCTTGAAAAGCCATAATTGCTTATACCTTCCTGTCTCTATGGAAACCTTCCTTCCCCCTTCTTCTTTGTAAACTTATTACCTGTCTTTGATGTCCTGTTTTCTTATTTTTGGGGGGTTTTAAAAGGTAATAAAATTTAACTTTCTCTCACACAAGAAAATCTTGGAATTGACTTTCCTTCATTTTTTTTCTGATTCATTAAGTTTATTTGAAGTGTGATAACTACACTAGAAGATAAATAAAAATACTTTTTGCCATTGATAGGGTGTGATTTAAAGAAAACAGGAAAGTTAAGTTGATTGCCCCTCCTTATTTGGTCATAACACTGGCGTTATTTGCTGCTGTGACTTACATGGCTCTGACTGAAAAGAACCTGGTTTTGTCACTTGAAAAAGAAATCTAGGCTTGACAACAATCTAACGACCCTATATTGTTTTACAGGCACTGTGCTTTGCAAGTGAATTTAGCATCTTTTGTCCTTTCCTTCACAGAGAGGAGTGTATTGTTTGAACAGCTGCAGCCATTATCAATGCTTGCCTGAGTTTCAAGTGCTTCAACTGAGAGAGTTGACAGATTCAAAGAGTTGTAAAACAGAAATGGTACTGATTAAGTCTTTAGTTTCCTGGCAAAAGCTACGATGAGTACAATAATGACAAGTTTTATCACATGGCAGAACGCATTTGTTTCTCAGTTTCAAAGATATACAGGACTTCATTTGACAATGTGAGTTTCATTTTAATGTGAAATATTTTGCATTGATATTGTATGGAATCTGAGGACAATGCACAGTGCATAATGTGGAGAGACTATAGGTGATCAGAGAAAGCAAACAGGATGCATGGGGCAGAGAGGTCACATGGAAAAATGAAGGATATGTGAGGGCATAGAAATGGCATGGAGGGTTCATGGGGTTATAGAAGTGGCTTAATGAAATGAGGGGATGCAGAATTCATGGATGGAGGCAGTTTAGGAAAAGGTGAGGTGTAATGAGACCTGGGTGTCATGTGGAACAGTTGCTGAAGGTTGGAATGCAGGAGCAGCAAGCAGTGAGGAAAGCTAATGGCATGCTGGCCTTCAATACTCAAATCCTGTCACTATGGAGTAGGGATGTCTTGCTGCAATTATACAGGGCCTTGGTGAGGCCACATCTTGAGTACTGTGTGCAGTTTTGGTCACCTAGTCCAAGGAAAGACATTCTTGCTATTGACCGAGTCCAATGAAGGTTTGCCAGACTAATTCCTGGGATGGCACGACTGGCATATGAAGAACGACTGGATCTACAGGGCTTGTACTCAATGAAATTTAGAAGAATCAGGGGAGATCTCATAGAAACATAAAAAACACTGATGGGACTGGACAGGCTGGATGCAGGAAGAATGTTTCTGATATTGGAGAAGTCCAGAACTAGGGGTCACAGTCAAAGAATAAGGGGTAAGCCATTCAGGACTGAGATGAGAAAGAATTTCTTCACTCAGAGTTGTGAACCCGTGGAATTCTCTACCACAGAAAGCTGTTGGGGCCAGTTTGTTAAATATATTCAAGACGGAGCTTGACATGGTCCTTGCAGCTAAAGAGTTCAAGGGGTATGCAGAGAAAGCGGGAGTAGGACATTGAAATTGCATGGCCAGCCATGATAATATTGAATGGCGGTGTAGGCTCGAAGGGCTAAATGGCCCACTCCTGTACCTATTTTCTATGTTTCTATGATCTGAGGGAGCATGAAAGATGAATGGGGACATAGGTCAGACATGGGTATGAGATATGAGGTCTAGTGAGGTCATAAATTCTTTTGAGAGTTGGGATCCTGTGTTGGAGAAACGAAGTAGATCTTCCAGCAGGCCCACCTCTGTTCCCGCCCTGCTACCTGGCTTGCAAACTGCATTATGAACCTGTGTCGGTGTGAAAGGCAAAAGTGGCATGTAAAATCACCCATACGGCAGGTTTGCAGTTAGCAAGTGATGCAAATGCAAAGGTCGGATATCCCTGATGCTATGGTCTGATTTAATTTTTTATACTTAAGTGGGTATGATGCAGAACTAATTTCAGGAGAAACTCACCTCTTGATTTATCTCGCAAACTATTCTTAATTGGGACAATAGTAGAAACAACACATTACATTCACATATCACCTTTAATGAGTTAAATCATCATAAGGTGTTCCACAGAAAGAATATGCAAAAAATTTGAAATTGAGCTATATCTATATATATCCTATATATGTGTGTATACCAGGGCAGGTAACAAAATGCTTGCTCAAAGAGGTTAGGCTTAAAGAGAGTCTTGAATGAGGAGAGAGTGTTGGAGAGTTTAAGAGGGGAGTTCTAGAGTTCAAAACACTGGTATAGTCATTAACATGGTATGACTGAATAATGTGACTATGATAGATCTTGCTTCTTTGGGCAGAAGGATTTAAAAAAAAACAGATTTGTGGTCCATCAGGTACATGGTTCCTTGAAAGTAGAGCCGCATGCAGAGAGAGTAGTGAAGAAGGCATTTGGTACGTTTGCCTTCATTGGTTGGAACATTGAGTAAAAGAGTTGGGATGTCAGGTTGTGGCTTTACTGGACATTGGTGAGACCACTTTTGGAATACTGTATGCAATTTTGGTCACCCTTCCGCAGGAAGGATTGGTTAAACTTGAAAGGGTGCAGAAAAGATTTGCAAGGATGTTGCTGGGACTGGAGGGCATGAGTTATAGGAGAGGCTGAATAGGCTGGGGCTTTTTTCCTTGGAGCGCAGAGGCTGAGGGGTGACCTCATTTAGGTTTATAAAGTCATGAAGGACATGGATGGGTTGAGTAGTCAAGGTCGTTTTTCCAAGGTGGGGGAGTCCAAAACTAGAGGACATAGGTTTAAAGTGAAAGTGGAAAGATTTCAATAGGACCTGAGGGGTAACTTTTTCATGCAGAGGGTGGTGCATGTATGGAATGAACTGCCAAAGGAAGTGGCAGAGGCAGGTACAATGACAACATTTAAAAGGCATCCGGATGGGTATATTAATATGGAGGGTTTAGAGAGATATGGGCCAAATGCTGGCAAATGGGACTAGGTCAGATTGGGGTATCTGGTTGGCTCAGACGAGTTGGTCTGAAAGGTCTGTTTCTGTGCTGAATGATTCTATGACCCAGCAGAGAGACCAGGCATTATTTGTAGTTAAAATAGTCCAGAGAACAATTGATGAACAAACTGTCCGAGTTATCTTACCTCTTTAATGGCTGACATCTTAACATTCTCATAGTAATGAAGGGGTGCATTTGGAGCATTCATATCATAGCCAAACCCAGCCACTGCCACTTCGTCACAGTTGTGCAATGCCATTGTTATTGCCACTGTACCCAGTGTTGGGATATTCTGTGAAAAAAGTAAAAAGAGCAGAGTTAAATACATAAAGCAACAGAACAAAACCTTGGCAGATTCAAAAACAAAAGTTGCTGTAAAAGCTCAGCAAGTCTGGCAGCATCTGTGAAGAAAAATCAGAATTAATCTTTCAGGTCCAGTGACCCTTCCTCAAAACAGATTGGCAGATTCATTGTGAAAACAGAAGACTTTGTTAGTCTTGAGACTATAGCTATTATGGATACTTTGAACTGAAGGGTTTGATTGGGATAGGAGCGGAAATGTGGTTTCAAATATTTTTATTCTTCTCAAAAATAATACTTCCAGAACCGCAGAGAAGTACATTTAGCAACACACCCACGAATTGACAAACTTTTCTCAGGAAGGTTGACCCAATATTATAGTATTGAATAGTAAGAAAGAGTTTGTGACAATAACTCTTAACCAACTGAAAATCAAAGCTCAAATACTGCACCAGTAGCTGCATGGCTCACCTATAGCATTCTTGCTTCCATGCCAGAAGGTTTGTGTGTTCAAGTCTAACTCACAGAGATGAGTAAATAATCTAGGCTTAGAACTCAGTGCAGCACTAGGGAATGTGCAGCATTACTGGAGATGTTATTGTCCAGATGCAATGATGAACACAGGCCGAGCATTCCCTCCTGGGAATTATAAAAATCCCATTTTATTATTTGAAGAGGAGGAGGAGTGCTCTCCTAACATCCTGCTAATCATTACACCTCAGCCAACTTCACTAAAACAGATTATCTGGATATTTATCTAATTGCTGTTGTGGGATTTTGATGTTTGCAAACTGGCTGTTATGCTTTCTTGTATTTCAACAGCAACTACACCTCAGGGAATAAAAATACTTAATTAGTTATGAAGTATTTTTGAAATATCTTGAAGTAGTTAGATGCCCCATGTAAATGCAGCATATAGGTATTTTTTCTTACAGTCTGTTCAGGAATGTTGTAACTCATCTCTGCAGCAGGTGGGACATGAACTCGGGCCTTCTGGACACTACCATTGCAGTACAAGAACCCTAAATGAAAATTATACTTTCAAGCACCAAACTACATATGACTTGAAACTATTTTACTTAATTAGATGAGTACTTTGGGAAACAATAATAAATTTAGTAATTCCACACACCAAGCAGGTGATCATGCTTAGAAAATGTATTGAAATATTAAGTGTGAGGGTACTCTTTCCGAAGCATTGTTGGGTTAAAAAATAGGAACTTCAGCGTGAACTATGACATTTGCAAATTAAAGAGCATGGGAATCTGGGGATAAATGCACATAAACTTTTGAAGGTGCACAGCAAGTTCAGAAAATGGTTACATAAGGCATTCAGGGTCGTAGGAATTATATACAAATAAGTAAGGTACAAAATAAAGAAAGTTATGGTGAAATGTTAGAAGGCAATGGTCTGTCCTCAACTGGAATACTGTGCTCAATTCTGGACTGTGCACTTGAGTTAGGATGTGAAAGTATGAGAAAAAGGTGTAGGAAAGATTTGAGAATGGTTCCTGCAGTGATTGTAGGTCAGACAGCTGGACATCATAGAATATGACTTCCATGATTTGGACTGTTAATCAGTGAGCCCTGGCTGACTTATAAAAAGGGTGAGTGTCAGAGATACTGACCCTTTGATGCCTGACTCTGTATGCAGCAGTACTATAGTAAAGGACTGTTCATGTGCAAATAAAAGGTGACTTGGTGAGGGGATACCAGCTTCAATGGAGTTATTGAGGTTGGTTGGCTCGCCGAGCTGGTTTGTTGTTCCGCAGACGTTTCATTACCGTGCTTGGTAACATCCTCAGTGCAGCCTCTGATGAAGCGTCGGTGTGTTTCCTCGGAGGAAACCCGCAAGTGAGGCAATCCATCGCAATGGACCCCAGAGTTTAAAAGCCAGGCGGGAAAACACACCGACGCTTCATCAGAGGCTGCACTGAGGATGTTACCAAGCACGGTAATGAAACGTCTGCGGAACAACAAACCAGCTCGGCGAGCCAACCAACCTCAACACCCACAACCCGAGCTACAAATCTACTCCAAAATCAATGGAGTTATTTCAGTTCCATGGAAGAGGCACTTCAATTATGTGAATAGCCTTTAAATATTGAGCTGTTCTTTCCTTAGATGGGGATAAATAGAGGAGTTTAAAGTCATGAAGTGTTTAGACACAGAAGTTAGGGAAAAAGTATTCCTATTGATAGATTGGTCTACAGCCAGAGACAACAATTTAAGATGCTTGGCTAAAGAAGCAATGGTGAAATTAGGAAAACTTTTTTTTTATGAAACGTATAGTTAGAATGTGGAATGCACTGTCTGAGTACAGAGTAGAGGCAGATTCAATAGAGTAGAGGCTTTCAAAAGGAAATTGGAAAATAATCTGAATAGGTGCAAAAAGGCAAGCGAGTGGGATTTGCTGGGTTACTTTTATGGAAAGCTGTCACAGGGACAACAGGTTGAACAGTCTGATTAAATTATATAGTTAACGTGGCAATGTTTGATCTTAAAACTAGACAGCTAACAATGAAAATCATAGCAGCGAGATACCTCAATTTGAGAACAAACTTCACTCACCCCCTGTATAAACATAATTAATAATACTGTATTTCATATAGTTTATGATGAAAATCACATTTCTTTATCTAAACTCTGATAGTCATGAGTGTTTTACTCTAGAGCAATATTATTTCTTCACTGACAAATGGTGTTGATTGAGGAAGCCCTGGCACTGCTGGAGCAGGAAGCAGCATATGTTAGGCACTGCAGGTAAGTTTCAGAGCTTCCTTTTCAGGGGTTCAGGAAGACTGTGCAATTGCATTCTGGGCCTCAGAGAAGGCATTGGGGTCATCATACATATGATTATGGGGATTGCAGTTGGAGCCTCAAAGTTTAGGTCAGGTGATTGCAACTGGGGATTTGGAGAGGGGATGGAAGGGTGCAGTGCCTAATCTATTTGTGTTCCAGGTCAATTAACAATTATAGTTGAAGAAAGAAAGGATTTTGATTCTTCAATTGCAAGAAAGGGTATTTACTTTTGTTTTCTTTTAGATTATTCTGTGCATTGAGAGTGAGTTCTGTGCATGAGTTGAGGGACATCAGCACCAGGAGGGCAATGCCCAATGTTTGCTTCAGGTATGGGAAAAGATGCCTCACCCTTGCTCAGTGAGGCCAGCACTGCATTTCCAGTTGTTTCTTTCTTGCCATTTTGGAACTTTAGGAAGGCAATTTTTAATGCCTAAAAATTAGCGATCTGAGACCCAACTCAACCACCCACACAACCCCATCTGTTTAAAAGTAACTTCCACTCTAGCTTAATGTTCATTATATTACATTCTTCATTTTAACTTAAAGTCTTAAGCTTCTCATATCAAAACTAACAAAATAAATTAACAGTGAAACACGGTTTTATCTTTGGGCTGTGGGGAGAAAAGGAAGAGAATCAATTCAATCTCCCTGGAAAGCAGCAAGCTTGTTACTTGAACATAAACATATGTTTAGTATTCTATTCAATCCTGAAACTCAGTGTCAGATAGAATACCTGAACCTCTTGTAGCTGCAAGAATGATAAAGCAGAGTTTCATATCTTTTAATAATCTCATTCTATTGATGTCTTATCATTTTGTTCCATGCAGTAATGCATTAATGCATACTGATGTGTCTGACAATACACTGATAACATGTACCTTCAGCTCCTGTCATCCAATTCTCCAGGACTCAAAGGATTTCTTGGACTGCAAAGCCTCAAAATATAATCAAAAGTAGAGTAGCAACAAGATTAGAATTAAGTGGCTTAGCTAATTTATTTATCTTTTAAAATTTAAAACCTACATCATTCCCAGGCAAAACACGATTGGCAACTAACCTTCAAATATAACATGTCACGTGTACTTGAGGACTGTGACAGCGTTACAGACTCGATGGATTGGAATGTGCCATTGAACAGAATGGCCTAAAGCTCCATTCTAACTTTTGGAGTTGCTCCTCTCCTGCAGTTTAGAAAGCAGGTACTCACCAACTCTACTTTAATATTAATGTCAATCCTAAGACCAGTCTGCCTACACCATAGGACTCAAGTGGAACAAAGATCTGTTCATTTTTCTTCACAGTGTAAACAAGACATGAAGCCAACCTCTATAAAACTGCTACAGAAGATTAGGAAACAGATGTACCATGTTTATGCTAACCTCTGGGACATAGTTGGTGGCTTCAGGACTTGTTTCCATCAAAAGTAAGGGCTGTCTGTTCTTATTATTTTGGGGAGAGCATTTTTTTTCAAATGAGATTCATGATGCTCAATCCATTATGTCCTATGGTGACCTTTCTCATGAATTCTTCTGCTCTTCATCTCAAATTATGCAATTGGCTTCTTTGGTGCCTGTCTCATGCATCATGTAGGAGAGGGGAAGTGCTTGCTGCTGCAGGGGCTTCGCAACGGTCTTGCCTCTAGCACCATATATAAACCCGAGCTATGCACCACTTCAGATACTGCAAACCAGGAACCATCCGTCACATCGTGACCTTGCAGAGTTATCCCCAAGGAAACAGCCCAGAAAGGCAAATTAGATCCCCAGGAACTGGATATACTGGTGGATGGGGTGGTAGAGGGGAAGGCAGAGCTATATTTGATTGACTGGCAAAGGAGGCCACTCCACCAAATCCAACGGGCCTGTACTGAGATAGTGGCCTGGTCAGTGCACTGTCTGGGTGGAACACAACATATAGCAGTGCAGGAAGAAGGTTAATTATCTTCTGTGCTCTGCAAGGGTAAGTGCCATCATTTTCTTTTTGCTATCTCATGTTTACAGGGCTACTGCTAAACTAACTGCACTGCACACACACGTCACTAAGGTTCATGCTCTATAAATCTTACTATGTATTATGTACACTTAAGAGCTTTTATGCACTTCATTCTCAAAATCTGACCCTTTCTGCCCTCTATGCTTCTTACTCACTCACTGAAGGCACGTTATCACATCTCCTGCATCACCACTAACA